GGTGAATAAAGCCGCGGTTCTCGGAGCGCCCGAGTTCTCCGAAGGGCTGTGCCTGTGCTGGGCTCCGGCTCGGCCCCCGCGCGGCTCTCCCGGGGAAGGGCTGGGCGCATCCCCCGGTTCTGATGCTCTGAGCCCCCGAGAGCGGAGCCTCGGGCTCGTGGTCGGTGTGAGCCTTGGGTAGGAGACGTGGGTTTTTTGGATTGGTTGGTTTTTTTATTTAACCATGTCTCAGTATTGCCTTATGTCTACTCCTGGATATTGCAGTCCCACGGCAGTGCCCGTGTGATTCCGGGTGCTCTCACGTGCTGGGCATAGCCTGGACCTGCTGCTCGCGTTGGCCGTGGGACTGACACGCACTGCTCTTACACCTTGGTGAGGGTAGTGGTGCTTTGAACCTCACTCAGTTCTGTTCTTCAGCACTCGCACAAAAGTTAGCTACATTTTTTTCCTGATTCTTTAATTATAACGTGCAGATATCTGTACTGAGCTTTGGCTCATTTAGCTTCTGTCTGGTAGAATTATCTCCCTGGGGAGACTTATGTCAGGCTCCAGTTTAATCATAGTAAATCCAAACTTAAGCACTAACAGATTTTTATTGTGTAATGCATTCTGGTTTGGGTTTTGAGAGGCTACGGGATCTAAAGCTCGTATAAATAGGGCTATGTACACCCCAGTGATAAAAATAACCTTATTTAATGAAAGTTTTAGATCTGGTTACACAGTTATGTTGAAGGAGGTACTAAAGCTACTTGTGTAACTGCAGCTCCAGGCCTTCCTGGCTCTGCTGAAGAGGTGTTTTTCGTCAGGGATTCTAAAGTACTGCCAGACTCATGTGACTGGGGTTTTTCTTACCCGATTCAGGAAGTAGAGACTGTGCTGTAAGTGATGGAGCTGTTGCAGTTGCCTGAGCAAATATGGCCACAAAATACTCAGTAGCAGTGCAGGATGGTGGGTGGTGTCACCACTAGTCATAGTGTGCAAACAGTGGATGTGTATTATGTAAAGGTATCAGCACAGATCCCTTGGTGTCTGCCCGTTGGTGTGCTGTGCCGTGGCTTTGGCTGTGCCTGATTGACGTCTTCATTGTGATTTCTGGATGTTGTTGGTAGAAGCAACTTAATGTGAACGGTTGTTGAATGGCTTATAGGCACACAGAGAGCATTGACCACTTCCCTTGGGGTGCAGGGAGTGATTTACCATGTCGAGTCTTGAGCTGGCAGTCAGGTATTACAGTGTTCTTAACAACTGCAGGCTTTGCAAGTTTGAAACAAAAGGATGCCAGTATCCTGCATTTCAGGTTTCCTCTTGGTCTGACAGGATACCAGCCTGGAATGTTGCATTGCTCCGTGCCACTTGCACAGGAATTGCACAGCTCAGCTCCTGGAGGAGGCTGGATTCATTCATGTAAATTCCTTTATTTCAGCCATCAGATGAGTTATTCCATTTGCTGCTTTACAAACGTGCTTGAATTTATTTTCCGCTTCTTTTGTTCTAATGTATCTTCCCAGCAATATAGTTTCCAAAGAATCAAAACAAGTATCCTATGAAATAGCAATGGATATTAATAGCCTTGTTATTGGACTGTGTCATTTGTAAGGCCTTGCTGACCTTTAACAGCTTAAGGAATGTGTTGAGCCTCATTGTTTAGCAGAAGTCATGTGTTCACTAAAGCAGAATGGAGGCAGTAGAGCTTTCCAGAGCCAATCTTGCTGTGAACTGTAGAAATAGGTATGGGAAGCAGCAATTTTCTATGACCAAATTACTTTGTCTCAAACTGAATAGAAATTACATTTTCAATTTAAAAATCTATCAGCGAGTAAACAAGCAAGTTTAATTACATTAATGGCAGAAGTGAGGTCTGGTATGAATTAAACAAATTCACTGTTCTTTAGATAGGAGACCAAGGGAAAGGATTTACACTCCGAGGTGTAGCAACACAGCAAATGGACTTATATTAATGGGGTGGAGGATCAGAGGGGCCCAGACTAATCTGTGGAAGATTTGGGCAGGGTTGGTGATGATAGTGCAGTGTTGATGTCAGCAGCAGGAGATCTGTGGCACTGATCTGTGACACTAGGGGAGGGAGGGAAAGATCCTCCGTGTCCTCAGGAGGAACCAGGTCAGCTGTCTGGGGGATGTGCAGGAGAAGGCTGTGATATGCAGGAAGGGATGCTGGTGTGCACTGTGACTAATGGAAGAAAGATTAAAGTGGCATGAGGGGGGAGAGGGATGAAAAAGATGAAAGGATAAATAAACACTTGAGGCTGAAAAATAAAAAAGTGTTACAGGAGAGACCTGACGTGACCTAGTTTGAAGCACAAAATAATTCTCAGTATGCCCTGCAGAAAGTTGGAGTCTTTCTAGGATATTGTTGGGAGGGATGGTTTGTTAGTCATTTGATGTAAATGTGATGGATAAAGTGCAAATTTAGTGGTGTTATCACAGGGCCTCTTAGATATGGAGCATTTTCTTTCCTTTATGATCAGTCAACATCTGTTCCTCTTTTCCTGGGTATCCTTCCTCGCTAGTTTTTCTTGCCAAAAAACCTACCATTCTGCCTGTGACTGAAAGTCAGTGAAAATCCCAAGAACATCTATTGAATCAATAGGAAGTATGAAGTCCAGAGAGTCTGAACCTTTCATATGTTTTAACATAAACCATTTGTTTGCATTAGGATTTAACTTTTTCTGTTGCATTTGTGGTTTTTTTTCCCCCAAGAATTAATTCAGAGGTGGCTGTCACCAAACAGCAAATTTATCTGTGTCAAGTTACACCTTTTAACCTATGGCATTAACTTTTTTCTATGGAGGCTTTTATTTATGCCTCTCACACAAAGGTTTGAATCTGTTTTGGGACATAAATGGCTACATAGTCGATTTTAGTGCTTCAGCTATATCTGGAAATAAAGCAGCACTGCCTGTTTGTAAAACTCCTCTGCCTTTTAATCTCCCCTATCTAAAAATGACATTTTCAATGCGTTTGTTTAGGCGTGAACCACTGGCTCTTATCAACCTCAAAAAGAAAAATGAAGAAACTGGGGAAGAAGAACTTGCCTCTCGCTTAGATCACTGCAAAGCCAAAGCCACGAGGCACATATTCCTCATCCGTCACTCTCAGTACAACCTGGATGGCCGAGCTGATAAGGACAGAACTCTGACCCCTCTCGGTAAGTGTCACCAGCAGCATCAGACTTGGGATTCTGAGGAAGTTGTTTTTCACGTGTGCTGTCCTGACGAGGACAGGTCAGTAACTCACTGCTGTTCTGGGTCTCACTGCCAAACCTTAATCCTCTTGCTGCATCCTTTGTGGCAGAAGGATGTCATGAGTAAGTTTTTGGGTTTTTTGGTCCTCTAAATCCAGGCATTCAGATGTGCTTTTCAGAGTTCTAAACACACTCAGTTATACAGAAACTTGTCAAAGGAAACTCCCAATTATCTTAGTGTTGCTTGAGAAAATTTTCATGCCAGCTGACACAGTGCCCCAGGGCTGAGGCTTTTGAATTTAGCTCCCTGACTAACTTTGGGATAGATTTCACTGAAAAGGTAACTGGTGTTTCTGTTGGTTAATTTGCTGATTTATTAGAAGGAAAACAGCCCTGACTTTCTTTTCATTTGGAGTGTGTATAATTAAATACATTTCACTTAAGCTACTCTCACTGTGCCTGGGAGTTCTGCTAATCACTTATGTGACACAAGGATAACCTCTGCCTGTGCTAATCTTAATTCATTGATCCTGTCACTAGGTGTCAGATGTTAATTGGTATTATTTTTAATAGTGTACTTTAAAAGCAGTGGCTGCTTTCTTGGTTATATGTATGCCAACACTGTTTTAAGAGGGAGCAGAATTATTGTTGTGAGGGTTTTTTTCCTCCTAAGTCTTAATCACCAGTGTGCAAACAGGAGTGAGACACTTGTTCCAGGCCTCAGGTGCTATCTTAAACGGGTAACAAATTATAATCTTAATCCTGTCTCATCCTGTGCCTGAAGTAAGTGACTTAACCTGTCTGTTTTCTTCTCACACCTCTACCTGAAAGATAGGGTGAAGCCTTCCCGGGGCTGCCCAGGCTGTGCCGAGCTGGTGTTGCCTTGATGAACAAACCAGTGCTTCAGGCCTGAGGGCTGTGCTTGACATGGCCACTCTGTGCTCCCCAAACAGATGGCTTGGGTCAGCACTGCCTTCTGTTGGAAGTGGCTTCCTTGGGATGGGGCCAGCAGGGATATTAAATACTTCAGTGAAAGTTGCCGAATGAGTGTTGATTTAGTATTTTTTAATTCAAACAAGCAATTTTTTTCCTGCCAATGGAAAGATGGTTTGAAATTGTTCAGCCAATAAGCTTGGTCTGAGTAAGTAGTGACTCTGGAAATAATGTTTTCCAGTTGCTTTTTGAAAGGAAAACCCCTGACATCAGTGGAGACCTTTCATGTCTGCAGGACAACTCTTTTGTAGCTTGCGTGCAGTGCTTGTGAGTGTCACCAATTTATGTAATGAACATCCTTTTTAAGGTCGAGAGCAGGCTGAACTGACTGGACACAGGCTGGCAAGCTTGGGATTAAAATTTGATCAGATTATCCACTCCTCCATGACCAGAGCAACCGAAACAACTGAAATTATAAGCAAACATCTCCCAGGTAAGAAACTTCCCTTAATTTTTCATTGTCTTCTGATCCTTAAAATTGCTTCCAGTAGAATTCTAAGCTTGTCCTTAAGTTATTTAGCCATTTGCCAGCCCTGTGTGAATGTGTCTGTATTGGTAAAGAAGCCTACAGCCATAGTTCTGCTTGTTTCCAGTTCATCTGTAAAAGTACAAGTACACTTTTTCAAAGTGCAGCAGACTAGGCAGGCTCAGCTTGCTGTGCTGAGCTGGTCTGGCTGTTCTCAGTTGGAATAGACTTTGCTGATGGCAAAACAGTTGTGTTGGAGAGTTTCACACCCCTTATTAGGAAGTGTGTATACTAAAAGGGACTTTAGGTCAAGAGGAAGCCTTCCTTGAAGAAAGACTATGAAGAATGTATTGATTGTAGAGTTGTGGGGCTGTTTTGTAGTGGCATGTGAAGTAATAACTCCTTTCTGAATGTGTATTTAATATTTCAGGAGTCAAAAAAATTAGTACTGATCTGCTGAGAGAGGGAGCACCTATAGAACCAGACCCTCCAGTGTCTCACTGGAAACCAGAAGCTGTGGTAACTTTTTCTTTCAAGTCTTGTTTTGTTTTTGCTTTGGTTTTCTCAGTACTCTGTACAGACAGCAGCGATAACTCACACTGTCTGAGCTGATGGCTTTTATCACAGACCTTAGATAATTGCATGCTCTCCTCTTCCCCAATAAGTGTACATAACAAAGTAACTCACAGTCCTTGAGTGTTAGTGCAGTCAGTGTGCATCGCTGTACCGAAGGACTGTTGGGAAGCTGAGGCCCATCTGCCAGTGCAGGCAGTGGCAGGTGCTGCTCTGAGCTGTGTGTAATTCTGCCCCCGGTGCCTTTAGCAGTATTACGAGGATGGAGCTCGCATCGAGGCTGCTTTTCGGAACTTCATCCACAGAGCTGATGCCAAGCAGGAGGAGGACAGCTACGAGATCTTCGTGTGCCATGCAAACGTCATCCGCTACATAGTGTGCAGGTAGGTGCAGGATTTGGCTGCGTGTGGAAACGGTCAGTTTTACTGGGGTCGGTTTATGGCACCACTGAGCCTGGAGCTGTGTTGATTTGGCTTGTTTGAAGTGGTTGGAGATCAGTGCCTACATTGTGAGCAGCTGCTTGGTCACAGGATTGATTTGCACGTACAAGATACGTTTGAAAATTAGAACATTTTCATTGGAAAGTGAAAATTGGTGAGACTTAACCTTTTTGTACATCTGAATGGTTGCTTGAATACCATATGCTTCTGCCTGTGTGGACTGTTGGAGAAGACAACAAATAGAGCATCTGGCTGGAGTATCTCTGAGGTGACATGAATTCGATCTTACATAATGAAAGATTGATTTAGTTTTGGGAATTCTTTACTAATGGAAATTTCTGAGTTACATTCAAGTTGCATTAGTGTGTTTCCAGTAACATCCAGCATTGGATTAAAAGGAGAGTGGATCTTTCCCATAACATCAAGGTTGTTCATGAAGGAGAAAACAGTTCTGGATCTTTGCCTATCTCTGTGTCCAGTCATCTGAGTCTGTTTTATTCCTCTTCCCTATCAACAAAGCACTGGCTGAAAGATAATTTGTCATGAGCAGGACAGATGTGATTAAAGTTTAATCTGATCAATATCTACAACAATTTCAGTTAGCTTTATTTAGCTGAGCTAGTTAAATGCTAGGCTGTCTGCTCTGTGGCTGCTTTAGGGCTCTTGAAAATTGTTGTACTTAAAATTATTGATCAGGTAAACAGAATATTCTTTCCTGTGCCAAAAAATATCATGTTGCTGCTACCTAGGCTTTTTCGAAATACTTGTATTGCTGTTCAGCTCTTTGCTGCTGCTTCCCTCGTCGTTTTAACTTCTCTTCTGTACCTTCTATTCCAGACTATCTGATAGCACAATTAACACAGTCCATGTAGCATTCCCTTTGAATCCAGCTTGGCTGTAGCCGATATTTATTTTCTTCAGCTTTCTATGAGACTGTCGTAAGAGCCAAAGCCAAGTTATTCCTCAGTATCTGAGGCAAAAGATGTTTGAGACAGCATGGTATTTTTTCCAGCTGTTTAGTTCAATTGATGGAGCTCCTGAGGCTGTTCAGTTAGGAGTTCCAGAGTAGCTGGAGACTAGCTGTGATACTGTGTTCCTACAGAAGGCACAAGGTACTTTTTATTGCTGCTTCTGGGGAATGATGTAACAGATGGAAAGTTGTTCTGGTGAACTTCTTCCACAGGCACACGCAGGCCACTAGAATGAATCCTATGTCACTGCTCTGCTGTTGTTGCATACCTACCTGTGTTGCTATGGTGGCCCTGAAGGAGTGAGGCAGCTTTTCCACCTGTCCCTAAAAGCTCAGGGTGTTGTGGTGCTGCAGCTGAACGTGTGCTGTCCACTGTCCTGTTCATGCTGAGGTTGCTCAGAGTGGTCCCAACAGCCTCACTGTGTTAGAGCTGCTACCTTCTGTCGATTGGAGTTAATCCTGTCAGCAGTAATCACACCCATCTGCTGGACTCTGCTTATCCCAGTGCACTGCTGGCCCTGGTCCAGTTATCAGTGCTGTGGTTTTATAGCAGTCCACAAGAAAAGTATTTTTTCCAGTGCTGACTGGGAGCATTGGCATACAAGCTGCAGAATGCCCAACTGTGTCAATTTTTCCCCTTCTGTGGGCAGGTGGTGATGCTGTGAGGGCATGCTAATGCAGCTGGGCATGAATCACTAATCTCTGTGTATTTCCCTCAACAGAGCACTGCAGTTCCCCCCCGAGGGTTGGCTGCGCATGTCCCTCAACAACGGCAGCATAACCCACTTGGTGATACGGCCCAACGGGCGAGTGGCACTGCGGGCACTGGGTGACACGGGTTTCATGCCTCCAGACAAAATCACACGCACCTGAAGAAGCAGTGGATGGCTGTCCAGGAGCTGCCTCCAGTCTCTTTGCACTAGTACATTCTGCTACAGTACCACTAGGTTTTTGTTACGTTGGGGTGTGATGCTGTCTTAAAATGTCCTGTGCTGGTTTGAAAGCAAACCAG